TTCCTTTTTCCAATTACCACTCTTTCCAGCCTTTCCAGACGCCCACGAAGCAGCAGGCTGATTCCACTCATTATCTGTCACAACCCAGCTCAACCATTTCCCAGGATACCAGCAACTCGTTTACCCAACTTATGGACAGCGATGTCTCCAATATGACGCCGATGTCATTGGCCAAAACCCTACTTACACCGCCTGCTAGCGATCAAGTGCCAACAGCTAATAATAAAAAGCTTTGCATCAATCCTGCCACGCAGTCTATCGTCCATGAGATCTCACAGCCCGCACCCAATGCAACTGCGCTCAGCAACTCTGCAGGTCTTATGAGTCTCACCACTGTCAGCAGTTTAGATGCTTTTCTACAAAATGAGGAGAATCTCAAGAATTTGCGCAAAGTTTCCTCTTACCTGGAGTGTGAGAATGCGCTTTGTCGTCAGGAGAATTTGCGCGAACATTTCCATTGCTTCGATGAACCCTGTCAGGGTAAAATACTAAGCAAAAAGGATGATATCATACGCCATTTGAAATGGCATAAGAAACGAAAAGAGAGTTTGCTGCTCGGATTTGCGCGCTTCTCCGCCTCCGATGACTGTGAGCCAACCTATGGCGCGGGATGCGCGTATTGTTGGAAGCAAACGCATTATCATTGCGTCTACGAGGATTGTCCAAAGGTGTATGTGAGCACAAGTGATGTGCAGATGCATGCGAACTTTCATCGCAAGAATTCGGAAATTGTACAGGAGGGCTTTCGACGCTTTCGTGCACACGAAAATTGCAAGATCGAGGATTGTCCATTCTTCGGCAAGAAGACGTCGCATTATCACTGCTGTCGAGAGGGCTGCAATCACACGTTCAAGAACAAGGCGGATATGGGTAAGTTTTGGCGGATGGAGAAGGAGGCATGAGCGGGATAATGATTTGTATCTCTTCATTTAGATAAACACAAAACTTACCATTTGCGCGACTATCAGCTCACCCAGGATGGCTTCAAGAAAATACTCAAGACAGAGCCATGTCCCTTTGAGGGTTGCAAATTCTCAACCGTCTGCAATCACATCCATTGCGTGCGTGAAGGCTGTAACTATATTCTTCATTCGAGTAGTCAAATGATAAGCCACAAGCGCAAGCACGATCGTCTCGACGGCGAACAGGCCTACCAGAATTTCAAAAAGCAAAAGGATTCAAGCGGCGAAGACTCACCAGCGCCAATCGCCCCAACATTAGCGCCGTCAACCGCAGCAGCTACCACACACTCGACGACACCTTTGTCTTCACTGAGCGCAGATCGTTTTCTGGCGCGTAAACGTGGTCGACCGCCAAAGAAAATTGTAATTCTTGAACCAATTCAGGACGCATACATTTCTCATTTAATTATCCTCTTCACTTTCAGGAACTGCCCATTAAGACGGAGTCAACTAAACGCATCAAACTGGAGTCGAACAATGAGCCAATGGGCGCCGCTGCTGCCGCTCAACTCGCCACCAATAATGGTGCTAACAATTCACAGTTGTCTGCCGCCGCGGCAGCCGGTCTCTTTCCATCGCCCTTCCTTACCAACTTCAATGCTGTAGCTGCTGCTGCTCAGAGCATGCAAATGCAAGATCCCAACGCACCCAATATGCAGTTGACGCACCTGATGGCACTCTTCCAGCTACAAAATCCGCTCTTCTACCAAAATCTCTATCCGGGCGGCATGCCAACAAATATGGCTAATATGTTGGGTGCAGCGGCGATGGCTGGTACCATGCCATCTGTCAGCGGCCTATATGGTAATATGGCGGCTTTTGGCAGCGCGCCGGGCGCAAACATAAAATCAGAATTCGGCGACAAGCAGCAGCCACAACAGCAGTATAAGGAGTGAAGGCGAGCCGTTGATTTGCGCAGGCGTTTGTTGAATAGGTTTTGGCGACAGGGGTCGGTTGGTCGCCCAATTACTGTACATCGCTTTGGGAAGCGTGCGGTTTCGTAGGTTGCAATGTTGCAATTAATTTTGCGCGACATGTTGCAGACGTTATACGCCCTCGAAGGGTTATTTGTTGGTTGTTTTAAAAATCCGAGGGCGATAATTGGGCTGTGTCGTACGTTGAGTTTCTCGTTTTAGAAAGCTTAAGTGTAACAAAATTGCAAGATAATAAAGTTCGCTAGCTCTCTATGCTAAGGGTGCGTACCACAGAGGGACGAGCATCACCGAGCGAAACCAGGCGGAGCGTAGCAAAGCTGCAGGCATTGCAGGCATGGAATCGGCTACAAGTTTATTAAAAAACATACATACATACCTTCCATCAAAAGCCGCTAAAATATTTGTAGTATTTGCTCCAATGGTTTTCCCGAAAAATACATTTTCTAAAAATTCGCAACTGGGTCATGAACAAGGCGAATTCATACAAGATGATATCTTCAGCACAAAAACAACAAAAAAAAAACACTACTATAACAAATTATACGCACGATGGCGATCAGAAAAAAAGAAAATTGTACAAAAAACACATCATTTTAACAATCGCCGCAATTCGAGTTGAAATCAGCTGCTCCGGCAACACCAACTTGTATGAATTCGCCTTGGTCATGAAGCTGAAAAATCAAATAGAAAAGTCAAAATAAAAAAAGCTTTGCTTTCAGCTCCGAAACGCTTCTGAAAAAGCTTGCTGTATGAACATTTTCATATACATAGCTACAGCGGGTTGAAAGCTTCGCACGGCTCGACAATGCTCCTTCTGTGTACGTACCCCAAGCATGCAAGATGTCAAGTTTAGATCATACATTTCTTTAGCCGTTTGAAAGAAAGCATTAAGAAAGCATAAGATCACATAATCAGACATTTTTGGAGCTTTTTAAACTTTTAGTTCTTAAACTCATTACAGTTTCTAAATTTCTCATAAAAAATCCTCTAGGGAGCTTTTACTCTGTGCACGGCCATATAAAATGTACAGAAACTTTGAAAAAGCTTTTCCTACGGGATATGTTTGGGTCGTGACTGATGCTCACATAATTCAATCATTCAATTCATACTACTCCGGGCTTATTGAAAGTACCTGTTTTTCTTGAAATATCACTTTAATTATCATTTTAGTCATCTCAGCTTCACTTAGATCAGTGATGCTCAGATAGAGCTTTTACTCTGTGTGCGTTCATATAAAATCCACAGAGAGCTGTGAAGAGTTCCGCCCGCGAGCGCTGTTTTGAGCATCACTGACTTAGATAAAAGTTTCTTTGTCAACTTTTCGCAAACTGTTAGCGCTCATGACAGAAGCTCAAAGCTTAAACCATGAACAAAATAACAGTGTTTAGAAAAGCTGACAGAAAAACTTTTGTGAAACTTTCACGTGTCTTCATAAAGTATTGTAGGTAATAGTCGATAGTCTCTTAATTAAAAAAAAACACATTTTTCTTTAAATTGTGCAGAATTGATATTAAAACATGTCGTGATAAATGATTAAAAGTAGTATAGACTATTTTGAAATTCTTGAATTAGGAATACGATGAATTTTATAGGATGAGAAAAGCTACATATGTATGTATATACATACATATGTATGTATATTTTAATAAAAACACAAAGCAAATTATAACTGTGATTTTTCTTAATAATAAAAATTGTATGCAAAAAATTGTACAAAATAGCTAGGTAGAATAAAATTAAATAAATTACATTTGTTAAGTATACACTATGTATGTGTATGTGTATTTAGAAACCGTTTCTTTTATTTCATTTAAGGTTAATTTTTCAGTCTCTGTCGCTTGAAAAAGTACTTTTCCGTTGCTGTAAATTTTCTTCAAGAAATAAATATACATATGTACCAAGGCGAATACAATAAGGTGGTACAAAAACAAAAATTTACATGTATTTTAGTTTCTTTTGGTACACAAACATAAAATTTCAGCTATTCTTCTCTCGAAGAATGTGCTTGAAAATCTCGCTTGCTTGGGGCAGGTGTATTTACGGTCCAATATGATTCATATTTGGAATGTATATTACCTACATGAAAAAAACCTGTGTTTATGGTCAGATTTGGTTCATAATTATAACCGATATTACATAATTAAGAAATAACTGCAAAAAAGTTTTGTTGTTTAGGTGGTGTGGGGGAAATTTGTATTTTTTAAGCTTGCGTAAAATTTTTGTTTTTAATTACATACATATTTCAACTGTTTCTGCAGCTTCTTTACACTTAAGCCTTGGTTGCTGGCGCTTAAGATAGTCGAGAGTATTTTCCAATCGTCTTCAAATAGAAATGTCTACGTTTTCACACTAAGCAAGTGTTTTTCTGGCTAAAGTTCTTGCTATTTGACTGTGGCATATAGCATTGCCTGGACTATAAATAGGCCGAGAACAAATATTCAGTTGGAGATAAGAGCCATTGGCTCTGAAAGAATTACTTTCAGTTTTGCAGCCTTCTAAACAATGAAATAGGTGACGAGTTCACCTGGAAAGTGTCGGCCCTAAAGAGGAATCTGAGCCGTGATCACTATTGCGGCTATGGAACAGCACCACATCATTTCTTTGCAGGAGTAGGAAACAGTAGAGCATCGGCCGGCCAAAATGAGGTTCCTGAGCAAGCTACACGATTTTCTTAAATTTGCAAAGCTCCACTGTCTCTTCATAATGGACCCTCTAACTTCTTCTTATTTGGCACTACAACCGTTTGTTAGTTTGGGCAGAGAACAAAAAGCCTCGCTAATTGCCTCTCTCCTTTGCATATTTGCGCTCGTTACCTTCTAACAGCAATTTCTCAAAAACAATCGTAAGTATTTTTGTATTTAATAAAATACATTTAAATTTGTTACTATACATTTTTATTCAATAGTCGCAATTGCCTTTTTGGGTGACTACATAATAAATTGGATTTATATATTTGGTCAGTTAAATAGTTAAGCTGTTTTACTCAATTTTTTGTGAATACATAAATGTTTTATAGCTAGCTCAATACGATACCATACGTTTTAGGCATTTAAATTTAACAATTTGAAGCATTTTATAAAACTTTTAAAATATTGATTTTGAAGTACATACATATGTATGTATGTACTCGATAGTGGGTTTTCACTTTTAAGACCTGCAACGTACAATTACTAAGCTAAAAAATACAATACAATACGATTCCTTAATTGATTTTATAACATTTTGCTTTTATTACCTTTTTTAATAAATTATAACACGCACAATTAAATCGAACAATTTGATTATATACGCACGATGCTTATGCTACAGAGATTATGAATTTAACTTTCTGTACTTTTATACAGACGTTTTTGTAGGTAGGTAGTTAAGCGATTATATTTTCATCTAGCACATTTTTTTTACTTAATTTTTTTTATCTTTTGGTTTTACAATTATAAACCTAACAGCAATAAGCATACGCATTTATTTTTTCATTATACAATATATGATTTTTATCTGCTTAAATAACTAAATATTTACTTGCTAAGTGTGTGTGGTACTCTCAGCCAATTTGTGTGAAATTAAAAACATATATGTATATGTACTGTAATAAAATAAGAAGCAAACGCAAAGTCCCATGAAAGAGCTAAATAAAAGATACTATATTATATACATAAGTACATATGTATGCAAAAGTTTTTGTAAACGAAAATTGTTATAAACTTTGTCGCAGTTAGCATTTTTTCCTATCATGACAATAAAATTTATCGACACATTGTGAGTCCTTTAAAAATATAGCGAGACCTTGCAGCCAAAAAAACGTATGTGAACCTTTTTCACAATTTTCTTTTTGAAGCAGACAAGCACCTATATAGGTGTTCTAGTAGCATTTCTGCATCGAAAAGATTTACAAAAAAAAATTTCGCTTACATTTTTTAGGCGGTTAGGGCTCGATATGTTCTAAAATGTTATTACCCTTACACATTAACGACAAACTAATCCATACATAAAACATCAATACAAACCTACACTTACAGAAGATCTAAGTCACTCCCTTTTCTTAAGTACACATTTCCTTTCTCTAATTAAAAAAAAAAAACAAAAAACAATCAATTACATTCCATTCAATAACTTATCTTTTGCTTAACTAACATTGATAGAAGCATAGTCCCAATTCAGTGGTCAAGAGATAAAAGTAATGCTTTCGATGAGAGTATTATGCCTGTAAAAGGTAACTAGAGGTGTTACTTAGATCAGTCATGTACAAAACAAGAGATGATTTTTTAAGCTTCACATAGGTTTTAGAGTCACCGCTTTATAATCGTGACTGGTTGACATACAGATCAGCAAGTTAAATAAACTAGTATCGGCCAGATTAGAACACAGCATATCAAACGCATGCTGCACGCTTAGTGGAACTCGACGACAACGACTGAGACAACCGATCTGGGCGGGGGGGTTGTTGTAGCCGCTACAACAACAACAACAACAACAAACTAGGTTATACCGAGTCATTAAAGGTTCGAATTAAAATTCGATAGAACCCAAGCTTGATATCTCTAGTCATCGCGACATCTCAATCGTGTGCGCCCCTCTACAGGCAATGGTGAGCCTTTCAGTGAACTTTTAGCATGAAAAATCGTCTAGTAAAAAAATATATTTAAGAGGTTTACGCGGTTACGAGGCATATAACCGTTTAGATGAATCGTATGGGTATTATTTAGTCGGCACTTTCATTTGGGAACTAGTCTGGAAGAAGTTAGAGAGCTTACGAATGGATTCAACTCATCTCTTGACTCGTATAAAATGGGGCTTAAAAGACTAAATTTGCAAAAATATGCTTTCTACTTACTAATATTCAATTACATGCGTATATACCTATATGTGTGTATATGTAATTAGCTGCTATTATTTCCAAATTTTCGCCTACATTAACCAATTATTATGTACTATAAATACATACAAAGATTTCAACAATGACTACCTTTCAGATGACAACAGCGATTTTCGTTTTAGTTTGCCTAAAAAATTTTCATAATTGTAGACAATTAAATAAAAAAAATAAAAAACTGCGAAGGGCTAAGAATTCTCTTGTACTTAGATCTATTGATTTTCCTGCTTCCATTCTACAGTGTAGCAACAATGACTAGCCTCAATACACTGTCCGAAGAGTTGAAGGATTTGTTGTGTAACTTTAAAAGTGGAACATAATTTTCATAAATACACAAAAAAAACTAACATGTTGTTGTAGCTTTTGCATTTAGCTTCGCAACGCTTTTAAAAAATTCCGATTTCCAAGCAAACGTTTAAGTAGAAATAACTTATTGCCTTGCATGGATGTCTGATATCTGACTGCTGGAGTATATCGGCAGTACATCATACTCTACGGAATCGGGAAAAGATCCGAAAATCGTTCTTGCAACAATCATTTACGCTATTATAAAAAAATTTAAAAGCAATTGTTGCTCTTCTCTTTACTTGTAGAATATGTCTACACATTACATATGTACATACATAAAAAATGTACCTACAAAGTATTTGTGTTAGAGAGTATTCCAGCATCCATTCGATTCTGTATGTTTTTAGAAAAGTTTTAACTCGTCCATGTTGAAGTTGCACAACAAAATCCCACCGTAAAAATCTTAATTCTTACATACACACATAGCCATTAAATGTTTCTGCTTATTTTGTTAATTTAGTTCTTAATTTTTTTGTTGTTGTAATGTTGCATAGCGATTGTGTGGCGTAGGTGCTTTTATTAAAGTTATCAATTCTAATAGCGGCATTTAAAAGCATTTTTGTAGCGTTTTCTTTTACTCATTTTCATTTCCATTAAATTTTTTTTTTCTGATGAGTTGCAAGCAATCACAGCAAATTTCAATTACTTAAGCACATGCACATGAATAACTTTTTTTGTTGCTCTTAACTGCGGTGGTCTTCGTTTCGAAAAAGGGTAAAAATTATCAATGAATTTTTCCTTAAGTAAATAAGCCTTCAATTATTCAAGATTTCGAAAGATCGCTTTTCCAAAAGTATTTTCTTCAAGTAGCCGCAATGGAAGTAATCGAATTGAAGATACTTAAAAAAAAAAAATTTGCGGCAACTAGCTTTTCAATCCAAATCGAAATTTAAGACAAGCCTGAAAATTCGGTTAAAGGCTGTCTACGAAACATCCACATCCAAAACAGAACATGAGAGAATGGTGTGAATTATTTTAAACTGTTTCAATAGTAGTAAAAATCCCAATTTTCATTTGTGCATCATTTTTTCCCGCGTGGCTAAAATATTGCCCGCTTTTGGAATATTTCAAGTCTTTCCGCCATCAATCGAATCGAAAACTCGCCGCAGCGTTCGCTATATTTTTCTATGTTTTTCGCTATTTTTGTTTCTTCCACTTGCTATGTATTTTGTTCTTTTATTCTGTATCTTTAATAGAAGCTACGCAAAAATTTCGCTATGAATCAAAACCGTTAGCTGCGACCATTTGTGGCAGCTGCATTCGACGTATCAAGGTTATTACCACTCGCACTGCTGTCGTCTACACTAGCAGCGGTCTCCGTCACACCCGCTGCCACTGGGACCATCGGGCGCATATGATGCACGGGTCGTATCGATTTCAATTGGGTTGTGCCATTAAAACGCACATTCACCTCACCCACCATGCTTAGGGGATGCATTTCTGTATAACCCGCACCCGACTCTGGTTGCTCAGTGGGCACTATAATCGAGACTGAGGGCACCACTTTGCTGGCGCCTCGCGTTATACTTCCTGCACCGTATAAAGTTTGCCGGCTGTTGAGTGGTGACAGCGCTGTCGGTGTATTCTTATAACCCATTCGACTAAAGAGGCTGCCGCCGCCGCCACCGGCACCGACACCATTGCTGGCGCTACTACCACTACCCGTAGAGGCTGTGCTTAGTCCGCTAGTACTACTATTGCTGCTAGTGCTGGGCGGGCTGAGTGGTGTACCCACACCACTGTCAACTTCCAGTGGGCTGCGTATATTTGCACTGCCAAACTGTTGCTCCAGCTGGTCGGATAGTTTGAGTTCGGTCAATTTGGATTGCATTTCCGGGGAGTCGAGTAGGCGATTTGGCCGTTGTTGCTGCTGCTGTGGCTGCTGCGTTTGTGGTTGCTGGAGGTGTTGGCTGTCATCCAGTGAACTGCTGGCACTGCTCAGCAATTTCCGTTGTTGCATAGCCGCCGCCTGTGATGTTGGTGATGTTTGTGCGTTGCGTTGCTGTTGTCGCAATTGTTCATAGGTATGTTCAAAAAAAAGGTGTCTTCTCCTTCTTCTTTTGTGGCGAACCATGTTCTTCTTTTTCGCTCAACTCTTCTAACACCTTTAGTGGAAACCCCAAATGACTGTTGACCGATACGGATTTGCCGATTTTGCGCTCAGTGAAATGTGGTTTGCGACGCTGACGTTCCAAGTCCTCCAATTGTTGCAGGATGCGTCGCACATCGCCGGGCAATTCCAGTTCGACATTGTGTTCGGCCAGTTGGGAGACGAAGTGGCCGAGTGTTTGTATTGTTAGTTCGAGCGATTGCACCTGTGTTTGCAGTGAGGTGATTTGGCTTTGTTGAGATGAGCGAGTCTTCTCGAGCTGTGCGATCGACGATTGAGCAAACTGTGAGAAGAAAAATTTGGTGATTTAGGAATGCGAATGGGGAATATATCTAATTTTTTGCGGAAATGAAGAGTTGCATACCTGCAGCTGCTGTTCTAGATGCATATTCCGTGTTTTTTCTCTATTCAACATCTCCAAGTGGTGATTTGCAGTTGAGATCTCTTCTTGTAATACATTATATTCGACATTATATTCGATTAGTTGCTTGCTGACGTCCAAAGTGAATACCTGTGGGAGATGAAATTTAAAACTTCTATTAGATTTACTACCGAAGCTTGTGCGAAAGTTGGCTTTACAACTATATATTCTTATAAAAGTTGTTTTATAAAAGGTTAAACGATGCGAGATACATAGTTGAAAACCAAGCTCAAGATTCCCACCACGAAACAATAAGTAAAAAATAGAGTCACTCAGAAGCATTAAATCCTCCACCAAACTCACCAATTTCATAATTTTCTCCATTGTATTTGCTTCCATTTTCGGTACAACTGTTTTCAAATAATCCATAATTTCCTCAAAGTTATCACGCGCCAACAATTCATCTTTGTGTACTGTCAGCAAAGCGATAGCAAATTTAAAAATCACTTCCGATGATTCTAGGAAGAGCAAATCGAAAACGCGTGCCACATAACCCAATGGGAATTGTGAGCTGAAAACTGTGAGTATCCATGGTGCCGCATATAATGTTGGCGATACATCGTTCTGATCGAGCCAGATATATAATTCTGGTAAGTGATCCTTGACCAGACGTGACAGCTGATACAATTGCAGTTGGAACTTCTTCATATCTGGTAAATACTTGGTACGCATCTGACGTCTGAACATGAGATGTTTGAGCAATTGGAAAGCATCGGCCTCATCGCACTAAAAGGTAAAAATATAAAGTTATTTAAATGTTTGAGGGAGCACATTTCCGTCTACTCACATGCAACAGCAGTATGCCGCATATAAAACCCAAACCCTGACAATAGCCAAGCTCTGGATCGAGTATAGAATACGCTTTGAGCAAATTGAACAGTGACAATTGTCCCAAACCAAGTGGATCTTTGTAGAATTTGTGATTGGGGAAGGTACGACCCAGATCGATGAAGATGGCATGCTGATGTTCAGTGAGATTCTTCAGTAATGTGTGATAGGGTGTATTGAAATTGGGAAATTTCTTAGTATCCACTGGTGCTGTATTCATGGAATGCTGATCGGCGAGAAAAGTCCAAACATCGCCACGTTTCGAACGTGGTACGCCACATTTGATTGCTTGTGCCAACACTTTGGGATCTTTCTTGTTGCCGATTTTCATGGAGTCGCGCTCAATAATCTGCTCCCAACGCTCGATTAGCTGCTTGTCACATGGCACAATCTCTTCATAGTCGAGTTTGATACGCTTGAGCTCGTTTTCGTTTTGACGCGCCTGCAACATAGCATTTTCGGTTTCCATGCGATTCAATAGAATGGTCTGGCGAATAGCGGTCTTCCAGAGATCGCGAAGTTCCTCGCGGGTGCGTTTACCACGAATGCGTTCTGCAATGGAAGGGGTGTTATTAGATGTTATAGAGAAATAGCAATAAATACTAACTTTTGATCCTCATCGGTGACATAAATTCATTCTGTGCATCACCGTCCATGCCTTTCGATGGTGTAACCACACTATTTAAAATCGCGTGACGCCAAGAAGCTTGATGCGCTTCCGATTCTTTCGGACTATTACCGACTTTTATAAAGCTGTAATGAAAAACAAAAAAAAAAAAAACTCAGTTCAAATGCCCGCGATCGTTATTTTTAGAATTTCATTTCCCCTTACATGTCCATCATGGGACTCTTTAAGTGCTCTGCGCTGGGTTTGCTCGGACTGGCGCCACCAATCGTATTCGAACGCGAGCGGAATCCATCTGGTGGCGTTTCATTGCCACTACGACTAACCGGTTGTGGTTCGGTAGAAGCTTCGCGCCCCTGAATGTCCCGCAAACCATGCGGCACGCCGATGTCATCTTTCGAAGCCTTCCGCTTCAGCAAGTGATCGAATGAGTTGGTAAGCGAGCGTTTAGCCTTCATGAAAATGGTGCTACCACCTAAATATTGATTCAGAAATTCCGAACGATTCTCTGCGGTATCGTGCACATGACGCTGTTGGCGCGATTCACAATGAGCGCGCAGTAGCATCATTAAAAATTGATTTTGTTCCGCCAAAGGTGAGCTTGTCTTCTCCGAACCATAGTACTTGGCCCAAATCATGTCCTGCTCATCATCGGTCAGCGATTCAATGCGTCGAAAGATCATCGCTTGTGTCTTCTTCTCACTTAAGCCCTCAACATCGGTGCAGAGTTTGTGATACCACAGCATGGGGCAGTGCTCGCACGAGAAGATCTGTGTGGCCTCCTTTTTCTTTTGCTCGGCGCATGTTACGAATGCCTGCGAAATGGCAGCAACAATATCGTCGCACACATGATCCGATTGGCATTTGAAGACGTAGCCAATGTAGCCGTCGTTGTGCACCTCACGGCAAATGATGCCAAAGTGATCGGGATTCTTTTGACCCTGCGCACAGCTGGCGACGTCCTTGAAATCCTTGTAGAGCAATACCTGTTTTCGATCCGGAGAAATGAGACGCAGATCGGAGCGGCCAACGAGGAAGACCATAGTACGATTCTGCTCCACGTAAGGTGGAATGCAGCCATACGAAGCAGAGCGATCGCGTTGCTTGGGGATGCTGTCGGGTGGGCGAATGAGAGAGAGAGAGAGAGAGAGAGAGAGTGAATATTATTTGATTTAAGTATTCATTTATGTAAGTTTGAAGTAACGAATTTCTAGCAGCAAGGGAAGAACAAAATCAGGGGCGACTAAAAAACTATTAAAACATGCGCGTGCAATGCATTAAAATGCGAAACAAAGCGCTTCAAAAAAAAAAAAGAGGAACTACAAAAATCACTTTTTTTATCTCCAAGCTTTGTAGTTTCAAAAATGTTGAACGGATGCGCAAGAAAACGAAAAACAAACAAAATAAAAAACAACAAAACACACTGGAACTATTGCATGCCGACGAAACAGAAGCCAGTAAATGGTTGAAAACGCTTCAACATCCTACTCACGTATCGAGCGTGGCATAGGCAGGTTGCTGTGCTATCGTAGGCTGTTGTTGTTGTGGGCCTGCTTCTGCTGCCGTCGTCTTCTCTTGTTGCTCTGATTGCTCATTTTTATCCTCTTGCGCTTGACGCGGTGGCGATGGATGTTTGTTGACTATAACATTTGGTGCAACCAGCATCTCTGTTGAATCGGCTGCGTTCTCCTCCTCAGCAGTGCCACTATTGATTGTGTTTGTTTTTTTAGGAAAATGGTAATACATACATACATAAACACTTTTTCTAATTGCATTATACATTTACGTAGATGTTTGTGTAAAAAAAATTTTATCTCAACGAGCTTATCTCATCGATAACGCTTGTGGAAATGATGGAAACTGACTCAAAAAAAAAAAAAAAAAAAATTGTGTAAGATACTTTTAAAATATATATTTTTTTAATGTTATTTACAATTCTCAATCCGCTCATCAAAGAATATACATTACGTGAATACATACTGATATCGTTGAATAAGCTATGTTTATATATAAGTTCGTTTGTTTGGCGGACGAAAACTCGAAAAAGGCTCGACCAATTTGTATAATTAATTTTTTTGCTTTGTTCGCTCCAAATGATTTAAAACGTACATAAATTTAAAAATTTCGATTAATTAGGTGCATTAATAAAATAAGTGAAATATTACAATTTGGGTATAAAACGAATGGGGTTAAAAAAGCCTAATTTGGAAAATATTTGTGAAGAGGGTTCCCACTTGTTTCAAAATCTATTTAAATTCTTTAAATTTTTTAATATATAGTCACAAAAATGGTTATGATCTCCTTTTTCGGTTATAAAGAAATATATATAAGTATACAAAATTGGAAAAATCACAAAATTTACAGAACTTTTAAAATAAAAAAAATCCCCAAAGCTAAACTTTCGGCTCAACTTTTTTATACCACATTTCCAACTAATTTTTAAAGATTCTGAAATTTTCTCTCAAACTCTGCATTTAGTTCTGTTGAAAAATTTTAATTTAATTTTAATTTAGAGTTTACAGGAATTTCTTTTTTTTCAAAGTTCAAAAATTCATTTAAAAAACATCTCGAAAATTTCAGGATTTTTTTCTTAATCAGTTAAAGGCAAGGCATATTGAGCAGGTATATATTTGCTTAATTATTTGGCTTCTAAATCGTCAAATATTATTTAAATTATATTTTAAATTTTAAAATGCTTTTGCAACGTTCGCTTAACTTAGCACCCTAAACGTGGTTTTTTGGGCCTCGCAAAGGATAGATCAAAGCTTCGCAAACAAAATTACCAAGACTTTTCTTCTCGAATTTAAAATTTTTGTTTGTATTTTTTTCTTATATTGCACATGATATAAAAAACAGAATATTTTTCTGGCGCTTTGGAGACTAGAAGCAACAGCAAAGTCGACGTAAATGTTGTTTTTGCGCTACCTGTTACCTGTGTTTTACCTGTTAGAGGTAAAATATGTATAAAAAATTGTAGCCAAAATTACATACATATTTTTGATTTCTTAGTTCTATAATTTGAAAAATGAGACCATTTTTGTAACTATAATAGTTTTTGAAATACTCAAACAATAAACTTGCAAACTTCGGAAGATTTCGAAAAATTAATTTTTTATTTTTTCCTTTGGCAGTACTTTGTTAAATGATAAAAGAATAGCTCGGACCAAAATTCATCCAAGTCAAAATTTGTCGATTCGAAACATTGGCCGATTTGACATGGATTGACCCACCTGCAAAAACTACCATTGCAAGTGCACGGAATCTTTTCAAGGACTCCCAACCAAAAGCAGATATACTAAGTTTTTTCGAAGCCCACACATGTACATACATACATACATATAATTCAAAAGTTTGCGCTTAAGTGCTACAATAAACCAGCATACAAATGTACACTTCCATGACAACTTACTCTTTCTTAACAGGAAGTTCCGTGTGACTCATGCCGCGCATTAAACGTTTCGGTGATTTATTTTCTTTGTTCGACATTTTTTGCTCATCCTCAGCCGGTTGTGCACCACTATTTTTTTGCATTGCCAATTCTGAAATGGCCGCTTCTACGCTCTGACTGCACGGTACATCCTGCTGTTGAATCCGTTCCGTTGCAGTCTCAGCTTCAGCTTCAGCTTCAGCTTCTGCCTCAGTATCCACTTCCGCTTCGGTCGACTCCTCAGCATCGCTCTCCTTGAGCGAAGTGTTTTTAAGGTCGAAAGTTATTGCGCTATTATTGCCGCTAGTGCACTCGACATTCAATGAAAGTTTACGATTTGTTGCCATTTGTGACGTTGCGCCGCCAACAGTTGAGGATGAAGCGGCAGTGGTTAACTGCATTAGACGTGTGCGTTGTGCATCGTACGCCCTGAACTTGGGCAAGGCATCATCGATGAAAGAGAAGGGCACACGCTTGTGCGATACACGAATTTTACCTACATACATAACCTCGAAGAAGTGCGTGTGATTGGGTGAGATATCGGCAAGTAGCGAGAGATTGCTCTGCGCAGAGGTAGACGTTGGAATGTGCACCTGTGCGTGTGCGTGTGCGTGTGAGGAGATTGAAATTTAATTTGTAGATGAATTTTGCGATTTAATAAAAATTTATAGATGTATAGTAGATATAAGTACTCACTGTGCCCGCTGAATTGCTCAAGCCATGCGTGTATGACTTAGATGATTTCATCTTCGATGAGACGATATTGGGACTAGCATCGTGTTGAGCATTGCGTACGGCTTCGCTAAGTTTGAGATTCGTGGCCGGTGTGGTGTGTATGCCGCCGTTGCCATTGCCGGTGAGCGCGCGTTGCATGGACATGTCGCTGTTGGAGCCATTGGCGACAAACGTCTGTGGTATGCTGCCCACAGAGCCGCCTAGCGTATGCGCTGGATCACGCATTTGATGCATGAGTTCGGCCATCTAAAAAAAAAAGGATGAAAATTTCGATTTGATTTAGTGATTTATGAGTAGATGTTTCTTCTTTGTTGTAGCTGTAAGCACGAGAAAACTATTAGTGCCGGTTAATTAACGGTCATTCAGTTGATGCAGTTAAGTAATTAGTTAAAGTACTGTTAAAAGCACCTTCTACGAAATTCCTACCGCTCAGCAGCTCTTCAGCTTAATAAGTAAAATAAAAGGAGGGAAGCGAATTAAGGAAGACGCTTATCATTAGCATTACACGTGATACAAACGTGATGCATACATGCACACTTCGCATAAGGGCGCTACAGTAAAACTTTGATAAAATAAACCGCAACTTTACGAAAAGCTTAATGCATGAAAATTTTTACAGATTGACTGAAACACTCTCTCGTTTTCTGAAGAATATCATACTAACAGTAAGATTGCCGTTATTCTTACGAGAAAACAGTAAAAGCTTGCATTTTTTTAAAATGTTTTTCTCGTAATGCCCTTTGGAAACGAGGTCAAAATAAATACTAAATTAATTGCGTTATTATTTTTTGGTCGTTAGATACATACGAGCTCCATGAGCAGTGTAATACGCTCCCACTAGGTGGCGCTAGTGCTTATTTTTATTAAATTACTTAACTACAGCGACACCAATTGGAATAAAGTATATTCTTAACCTCTACTTCTCAAACATCTATCTTTCAAAAAAGAAAATGTTTCATTCTGGGTGGGAATATAGTCATAATCCTACAAATTAAATGAGATTTGTCTGGTATTAAGAAAAAAAGCCTCATACGATTTTTAGCTTCCACATGAATTCAAAAAAGTTCATTTGATGGCGTAGATTAAGACAAAGACGAATTTGATCACGAAGGCGAATACAAAGGCGAAGGCGTATACGAATACGACGACGGAGACGAATAGAAATCAGCGATATTCTACTAAAACTTAAAGAAAAGGATCCTTTTTTTGAAAATAAATAAAAAATTTGGTTACTCGAAAGGACTTAAGTGAGAAGACTTTTGCAACGATTGATGCCTGTCATTCGCTATATCGAGGTTTCACTTTATTTACTTGATGTTACAATACATTTAAACACTTAACAAAATTAGTATAGGCAAATTGCAAATAAAAGATATTCTAGATAAAATGCTGCAATGATCTTCGAGTTGGTACATTGTACATCATATTGTTATATACAGTGCGGGCCCTGTGAATAGCGACCCCTTTTGATCCTGTTTATTAATAGTAATCCTTTTGCTTATTTAATATTCATTAATTTTTTATAAAAATAGAGAATATTCTATAATATTATTTTAATAAAATTTTATAGGTTACAAAACTGCATACTTAATCAAAATTTGAAATTATATGAATTATAAATTTTTTATATAAAGTTCGAAAATCAAATTTGTGTGGTTTTTGTTATAGAATATGCTATATTTTTATAAAAATTAATGAACGCTAAAACGGCACTACGGATTTCAATGATAGATCTCAACATGGATTAACATATAGAACAATTTTCTAAGAGAGTTACCATCTTTTTAAAAAGTTAAAATCAATCAAATAATAAGTTATACGAAAAGTAACAACAATGTGGGTGTCAAACGAAAGTGACTCTAAAGTGATTTATTTAGAAAATATTTTTTGTGGAGGTTGCCACCTGTTCACATTTTAATACCGATAAATTAATATATCAGTTAAAGGAAAAATCACAGCAATATGGGTGTTAAACGATATCGGTTCAAGGGCGAATTTCTACGAACGTGTTCTATCAGAAGGTTGCTAGCGGTTCAAAAAGTTAAGAACAGTTCAATTAACAAGTTAAACGACATATTTTAATATGGGTATCAAATCAGAGAGGTTTAAGAAAGTTTTATTTCAAATATATTTTTAAGGGGGGTTGCCTGCCACCTGGTTACATTTTCTAAATCAAATTAATTAACATATGGGTAGTATCAAACGAGAGGCTTTACAAAACTGTATTTTAAGATTACTAAAGGATTTTTGTCAAGATTTTTCGAATTGAACTTTTTGAGATTTTATGGAGACTTTTCGTGATACTTCTTTTTTATATTTTGGTATTTTTTTTTTGAATTTCTCGGGTCTTTTGGTATTATACTGCAAGTTTCTCGAAGTTTTGCGAAGTATTTTTGGCGAGGGTTGCCACCAGCTTTGGAATTTAAAATCAATTTAATTGACAAATGCTAGGGTTTGTGAGTGTGTGTGAGCGTATTTCTTGCTATTTCTTTGGATAAAATTTGGCAGATCTTACGAACTGGATTAACATATGTATATCATATTTTTGATGAGGGTTGCCACTTGCTTAAAAAGTTAAATTCCACTTCAAAATATATAATAAAGGTCAACTTAATTTCAAACTAGTTTTTATTGTTATAATATTATCGTACTCTATATTTAAAAATTTTAATTCAATTTTATTAATAAGTTAAAAAAGTATATCAATATGGGTGGTAAACAAATGAGGTCTTTAGGAGCTTTATTTTAAAAATATTTTATAGAAGGTTGCCATCTGTCTCAAAGCCAAATCTTATACCTGTTTAAAAGCCTAATCTTATTTCTCCATAAGTTAAATAAAGTATGACATTATGGATTTTAGTCGAAAGAATTGTTTCGAAAATATTTTAAAAGAGAGATACCACTTGTTTAAAAATTATGATTATATTAAATTAACAATTTAAATAAAGCATAACAAAATGCTGTCAAGTCAAAGAAACTCTATTTAACAAGTCTTTATTTCGAAAATATTTTTTCAAATGGTTGCCACATAATTGGTTTAATTTAATTTAATCACTTTAATGAAATGCTACAATATGGATGTCAAACGAAACAGGATGAAAAACTGTTTCTTTCAAAAATATTTTGAAGAGGATTGCGACCACTTTAGATGTTGTCAAACGAAAGATGTTTAAAAAAGTTTCATGGTTTTTAAGAGGATGTCAGAAGTTTAAAAAATCAAATATATTTAATGTGAACATTTGCAAATACTAATGAAATACTAAGAATTTTTTCCAAATTGTTATTTTTTCGGTTTGTTTCAATCAAGAATAATCGTTAAATTTGGATTTTTTTTGGTTTTTGGTAAAATTTAAATAATCGTTATTTTAAGTTATTTATTTTTGTCTATCAACAACGCTCGTTATTGTGGAATTATATTTTTGTCGAACGTTTTTTAATCGTTATAATGGAAACTACCTTTTTGTGGCTACTTTAAATCTTTTATGATATGAAAAATTATATCCTAAAATATCAATTATAATATGATTGAAAAAAAAAAATAAAACTTAAAAATAACGATTAAAAATTGATTGGAAAAATAAAAATCCAAATATGACAAAATAGCGGTTAAATTTGATGCGAAAAATTCAACGGCTAAATTGTGAATTATTCTATAGATATCTTAGCAAAGATTTTCCACCTTTCACAAATTGCAATCTATTCGTACTGCTTAAGCTAAATGAACAATGAGATATTCATATGAAAGAAAGTGTTGGTGTAGTATAAACACACCTACGGCAGGTAAAGTTACAGGTTACTTGAGAAAACGGCCCTAAAGCTGGCAATTTAGTTCAAATTAGATACATTGACCATGTCCTGCCACCTCGAGACATTCGGTGATATAATTTATTTCCTTTTTTGTTGGATTTGAAATCATAATAACTGAGGATCAAAAGGGGGCGCTATTCAAGTGGCCGGCACTGTACATATGTGTCTGAATACACATCTATTATTTAATAGATATGTATGTAACAAAGCGCCAAATTCAATGCACTAATACTGAGCTTCGCAAGTTTTGAAACTTTGCCAAGGCAAAAGTCCGCCAAAAAAGCAAACAAAAATACAGAAGAAAAAAAAGGACAAAAAACAAACAGTTAAAAAAATCTTCAAGATTTAATCATACAAAACTTTTTACACTACGTACATAAGTATGCACAAATTCTATGCAACTAATTATAATAAATGCAGACATTATTTGGGCGCTTGGAAGTCTACATTGGTTAAGTATAAAGAAAAATATATTAGAAAAAAGTTGTTTAGATCACAGAGTTGCAAAGCAAGAGATAAGTAGTGAAGACATAAGATTTTTTGGCAAAAAAAAAAAATTCTTTCAAATAAATCTCATACACACACACACATAAGTGAGTAAGCGAACAGTGAACTTGACCGCTATAAATGCGCATTTCACACCCATTTTCGCTGAAAATTTTATTTTTTAAGGGAAAATATATTTTTCACAAAGAAATGTCATATTAAAAAATATATTTTTTTTACATGGAATAATAAACATATATGTACATAAACGCAAGGAAACGTGCCAAAAAAGTAGAAAGCTTTCCATGGAAGAATAGACTTTATATTTCGTGTTTTGAGGCATTATTTTCGAACATCAAAAAATATGTATTTTTACATATACATTTCTTTGATGTGGCATATGAATGGATTTCTTTAAGCATTTAATGGTATTATCTTCAATGCATACAATAACAAAAAAAAATACAAATAAATAAAATACTAAGGCACTTTTACCAATTTCTTGAGGAGTTGAGAGAAGATATGCGGAAGCAGTTAAGCCGTCGGGCTACAGTGCGAGTGCTTATTTATATCGAGTGAGTGTCTTCTAGGTTTTTTCTTAATTCCCTCTCATTTTGGAAACCTTCAAAATCTATATTTTTTAGCCGGCAAACTTTGTTTAACTTCAGGACCCTTCTAGGAATAATAAACAATTGTTAATTTAACAATTCTTTAATACTAACTATTTTTTATGGACCCTAAAACCCCAAAAAATGCAATGGGGGACCCACAAAAAATTGTTCACATTAAACAAATGGTTAAATAAAACAATAAAACAACAAGTATTTTTTAGTAAAAAAAATATATATATATATGTATATAATAATAAAAAAAAATAACCTCCTCCTTTTTTGGAAGTCGGTTAAAAAAAAATCCGAATTGGTCCCAACGAGTTCATACACAGAGTTTGTTGA